CTGTTTTTTTTTTTTTTTTATTTCCAATGCCTCACTCTCACCTGTCCAAACTGACATGTATTCACTAACCCAACAACAACAACCCAATGGAATCCCACAAGTGGGGTATGAGGAGAGTAATGTATACGCAGACCTTACCCCTACCCTGAGGGATAGAGAGGCTATTTCCGAAAGACTCCCGGCTCGAGAGGAAGAATAGGAATAAGGTAATAACAACAAGGCCAGGAAAATGATACTATCAATGTATGAACCGAGAAAACAAACAAATGGAAGAAAGCAATAGCAACAAGCAGTATTACGACAAAGTACTAGAAAACCGAAGCGGAAGATAGTACTGAAAACAACCCTAATACTAGCACTCTAAGAATCGAAGACAATGTACTAGTCAGCTCGCGCTAATAAACCTGGAACATATTAGAAAAACACACTACGACCTATTACCCTTCTACCCTAATCTTCGACCTCCATATCCTCCTGTCAAGGGCCATGTCTTCTGTAAGCTAAAGTCGCTATGTATTCACTAACCCGATAATGGAATTTCAAATGCAAAGTCAAAGCAGATAACATACCAAGTGTAGCCATAATAGCAGCAAAGACGATGATTCCAACAGGCTGCACTCTCAATTTTCCAATAGGATATTTATAGACATTAATATTTTTCATTGAAAGATGAGTAAACCATAGTATGCCACCAGCCATGAGGTCAAGCAATGAATCCAGTGTAGATGCAGCAATAGCTAAAGAACCACTCTTTACTGTGGCATAGATCTGCAAGGCGCGATATGTGTCAATACTGCTATTGTGACAAAAAGGCATAAACCACCATCTTTATCATTTTTCCAGGTCATTCAAACATAAACCAGAATTTCACTTTTACTGCATATATAAAAATGTTGCAGGACAAAGAAATGCATACACATTAATAGATGATTTCTCATTCTCATGTTAATGACGAGTTCAATTAAGTAATTTCTGGTCACCTTGAGAGCAAGCAGTATAATGTTTGCATAATTGGAGATTCTCATTGCTCTCTCATGTTGAGCTTGTTCTTCGAGATCCTCTTCATCAATGCAATCAGAAGCAACTGCAGAATCAACTTCCTCAAATGACTTCAAAGTCTCAAACTGTTTTTCATAGTATTCCTTTTCTCCTATCATCATAAAACTTAGTCAACGGAGCACCGAGGGCAGTGGCGAACCTAAATTTTTTTCCAAAGGTGTTCAAATTTGAATGAAGTAAAAAAAATTCCCGACAAAGGGTGTTCAATATGTGTTGTATACCGCTAAAACGTAATATTTTACCTATATACACAGTGTAATTTTTCGACGAAGGGTGGTCAATTGACCATCCTTATAACCATGTGGCTTCGCCACTGACTGAGGGTGTTAAAGATATCCTTTTCTAGCGGTAGATATTTGAATTTCCCTAGTGTAGTTTCCAGCAAAATTTTGCTTTATTTGCAAATAAAAAAAAAAAAAAAGGAAAGAAAAGAAAAAATTGATATCCTTTTCTTTTTTTTTTTTTTTTTT